TCTGGAAAGTCGTACTCTTTGGCTGGCGAGAAAACAGCTAAAGCTGGAATAGTTCCTCTACTTATAAATGGCGTGTTCTTAAAGTTGAAAGAACTGAACAAAATCGGCGAGAACAGAGTTCAGGTGAACAGAGCAGTTGAAGGTCGAGTTACTGTACGATGTCTTCAAGTTCACAATGAAACTATGAAAGATCTCTTAAGCCCAATTCACGAAGGTATGATGCATACTTACAGTAAGTTAGTGCTGTTTGTCAATTGTTTTTGATTATTTTATAAATTCTTTTGTTTTGATTTCGTCTTTACGATCTTGTCAAATATAACAGAAAGGCAGCTTGATCTTAAAGAAGACCCAGTAAAAGGCATTGAAATTCTWAATATCACCACAAAGCAAGTGTTAGATGCTGCAGAATGTACAGCAGTGTTCAGACAAGCCATGGATTCAGTAACTCACACGCAAACAGATTATGGTCAKGAAGACACACGATCAGCTCTAATTTTTACTCTTGATCTGTTAAAGGTATATGTATAGTTGATGCATTATCTATGAAGATAGATATTTTACATCACAGATCTTTCATCATCTTTCTTCCTCTTGACATTACAGGTTCACAAAGATATGCCTGAACCTTATAATTCTCGATTAATGGTTGTGAAGTTACCTGGTGCTGAGAAGCTTGCCGAAGACCCCACCCAGCTGAGRATGAGAGAAGGTCCCACCCTTAACCGCTCAATTTTGTCTTTCCAAAAAGTGGTATCATCATTGGCATCATCTCGCTCAGCATCAAGAGTAATCAACTATAGGTACTATAGTCTGAGCCTCAGACAGGGATCCCTGGAGGGGGTGGTGGCATATAGAGAATGTGTAAAGAAAAAGGTCCATTACTTCCCCCCACGCTAGTCCCCATCTCCCTGACCCTCCCCCTTCCCTCTCTATTGCATYCCCCCTYCCCCCTCCACAACCTCCCTGCTATCCTCTATTCCACCATCGAACCATATGGGTAACACAATATAGGTGAATAACAAGCATTCAAACTGGCAACTGTAAAAGAATTTAATTAATAAATAATATTCATGAACCTATAAAGCATCAAACATGTCTCCTTGCCTACACCTCAAGTCTATATTTTACTCAAGGTTATAGACCTCTGAAGCTTTTACATCGTGTACCGAATATGCAATGCTCTGTAGGATATGTTTGGGACAAAACATGGCAGATTTMTTTTGTTTTCTCTTGAAACTGATACCACAATGCATTGAAAATCATTGACGTAAAAGGTTCAGAAGTCTATTTAGAGACTGAAACCATTTATGTATGTGTTGAGTACAATATTTTGATATTTTCTAGTGATTCTAAACTAACAATGCTTCTAAAAGATGCTCTTGGTGGCAACTGTAAGACGAAGGTCCTTGTCACCTTAAAGTCTGTTGAAACCCCTGCTCTGGGTACAATTCTAACTACAGCAGGACAGCTAGCACAGATATTGAACTATCCTGTTATAAATGATCATCTTGCACAGGTACATATCTTGCTGATGGCTTGGATGTAATTATAGTCTTTTGTTTGTGGACTTCATTTTTCAGTCTGACAAGAGACCAGCATCCAAAACATTGGAGTTAATTATATTATACTTAACATATTTATTTCATGTTCAGAAATTGATTAGCCAATACAGRACAGTCATAATTAGTCTTCAAGACGACCTAAAACATAGTGGGTTAAAACCAGGAGATGCTAGAGACAGTAAAGTACAAGAAATGAAGGACCAATTAGCCAAGATGTCAAATGAAAATGTAATAGTTAGAAATTGCCTCTGCTTACTTCATCTCTGTGGTCTTTGTGCACTCTTTTTTCTCTTTCCTATTCTTCCTTGGGTCTTTTTTGTTGTTGTTGTTGTTGTTATTCCTCTCATTCCATCCATTTTCTCCATTTCCATTCATTCACTTTTTATCTTTCGATTCCCTTTAACACATTTGTATCGAGATCTATAGTTGTATTTGATTACATACTGCAGGCAAAGTTATTAGAGGGAAGAGAACAACTCTATAGGCGCATTGTTGAGCTSGAATCMAAGTACACAGAAGCCACATCGTCATGGAAACAGCTGTCAACAAAACTAGAACTAAGTGATGAAGAAAAACTTCAGGTGGGACGAAAAACATGACACTTAATAAAGATATATACAAGAACATGTGTAAACTTTGTAATATATAATTTTGTAATATATGATATTTTTTTTCTTTAGATTTACAAAAATCTTGTGGATCTTCAGCTTGAAAACAACAAAATTCTCGAAGAAGCTGCTGCTGATAAATACGAACTCACAAATAGGGTACATGTACATACTATACAGTAAAGACAGTCATTGAGAATCAGTGAATATGTCGCAGACTTTAATGTCCAACTTCCTGGYCCTAAAAGTTTGTTAAATGACAAGGACTGGCAGTACTTGTAGTTCAGTTTTAAGAATATTTCAAATAATAAATGACATTAAGTATTGCACTTATATAGCTCCTATTCAGACTGATTAAAAGTCAGGCTTCCTTTRGAAGCTGTAAACAASTCAAAAAACAACTGAAAGAAAGTCAATGTACATGTATCTGCATTGTATCTAGAGCGGATTTCGTATGAGTGGGACACCGTTACCGCACGGTTACCGCACAATTACCGGAMCTGGCCTGCAGAATTTTGGTGAAACAATGGGGCACTAGAATTTGGTTACAGTACGATTACGGTCACCTTACAGTACCGTCCGTTTCCCACTCATACGAAATCCRCTTTATTGGTTATAATTACTCTAGCACTGATTAAAGAACTCAAACCAAAGTCCAACTAATTATTAAATGTCAATGTGTTTTTTTTTTTGTAGATCTTATCATTGGAGAATCAAGTCAGTGTGCTCGACAATTCATCWGAGCGTGATAGACAAGCTGCTGAGCATGCTAATAGAGCACTTGATGAACTCCGAACAGAACATAAAGAACTCAGTGATGAATACCTTGTTTTGAAGACAAATCATATTGAACTATCAAACGATTATCAGCAAGAGGTTGGTTATTGTGGGTTCCAGAAAATTAATTGATTTTTTAAAATTTTTGATTAATTTTGTAGTAATGGTTTTAAAACTTTCATCWCKTTTTCTCTTTACACCTCACCTTCGTCTCTTTTCTTTCCCTTCCTTTYCCCTTCCCTTCCATCCTTTATTGTATCTCGTTATTCCTTCCTACCCCTTCCATCCCTCTCATTTCTCTCTTTGTTTSTTCCTTCCTCCCTTTCTTCCTTTCTTTTTTTCCAAAACTTCATCAATTTCAAGGGACATTTTGTGATTTTTAGGTTTCTAAGAATGAAGAGCTTGGACTAGAGTTGGTCCACCTATCTAACATAAAAGAAAGATTACAAAAGGATAAAGAAGAAGTTGAAATTGAAACAATGCAGGTATAGTGACGATAAACACGGAATCATCAGGGATTCATATGTCATGATGGTAGGAGACCATCAAATTATGCTTTTTTACAACGCTTGTGTAAATTCTCGCTTTGCGCGCTGATTTTCTGATTAGAATGTATCAATAGGAGGACATGCACACTGTAGCTAACACCATCACGTCTTGCGCGGGCTAAGTTGAGAGAAAATAATGAGGGGGGGGGGGGGGGGATGTGTTTCGTCAAGTTTCAAACTTAAATGTGGTAAAAAAACATTGTGTACGGTATTGAGTTCATAAAATGTTCAAAACGCAAGTGGACCCACGAGCGCAGCAAAATATGCCATGCCTAACGATCATGTAGCTTTCACAGAAACGAAATTACTACAACGTAATATTACCTAATCTAATCTTGATTCATAACAGGAGTACTACAGCCAACTGCGTAAACTCGCAAGCAAGTTCTCGCGAAGCTCTCTTCAAGAAAAGGTATTTGATCGCCGTGATAATGATGAATAATCATCAGCATCAACTGATAAAAATCATATCTTGTTAATAGAATGATATGTCCAGGAGCCTGGTTTCACTTCGTTCAGAGAACTTACAGCTTGAAAAGCAAGTAGGTCATTGGAAAAGATACTTGACCTGTGAATTCACTATTTTGCTCACCATTCATAGACATCCATACAACATATTTCTTTGATTTGTTCTTATAAATTTTRTAAATGATTTTTTCAGCTCTTCATGACAAACAGTGCTAAAGAAGGCGTGATTGACACCCTAAAGGGTGAACATCGCAAAGAGTTAGCAAGACTAGAAGACAGCATGTACATCGATTATTTGATTTTTCTCAAGTTGTTGTTGGTTTGGTTGTGATGATTTTTGTTGATGCTGGTGCTGGTGCTAATACCGTTATTGTTGTTAATACTGTTGCTATTGCTGTTGTTGTTGCCGTTTCTGCTTACGTTGTTGCTAATGTTTTTACTTCTGTTGCTGCTACTGTTGTTTGATGCTGGTGGTAGTGCTAATACTTTAATTAATTGTTGTCAATACTATTGCTATTGCTGTTGTTGTTTCCGTATTTGCTTACGTTTTTGTCTATGTTGCTGACATTGTTACTACTGTTGTTTCTGGTGTTACTGTAGTCGCTACTGTTTAGTTGTTCTTTCACTATTACAGCTTTCTACAACTAAGACATCTGCTTTTGTAAAGTAATTTTTTTCCATTTTTTAGCAATGCCCTCAAGATGAAAATAAAACAGCTCCAAGCTTCACAGAGAGATAGTCAACGAAAGCTYGCAGGCCAGTCGGCAGTAAGTACTTGTGAAGTTACTATATTATTATTAGATTTATGGAGATATGCGACATAATCATATTCCTTAATGTGAACAACAGGAACTTATAACGTCACAAGCGGACAAGAGACGACTTGAAGAACAAAATGACAAACTTGATCAACAGCTGAAAGAAATCAGCGTTGAGTATAGCAACAGATTACAACAATACATTCATGATATATCAGTGAGTATCGAGAAGAATTGATAAACGTAAATGCCCCTGCCGGATTCTTCATATCATACTCAGCCTCAATCAATAATGTTTTATATCATACTTGACCTCAGTCAATAATTCTTCATATCATGTTCAACACCATCCAATATGTCGTCATCATATCATTCTTAGCCTCAACCTACAATTCTTTCTATCATACTCGACCTCAGTCAACAATTCTTCATATCATATCCGACCTCAACCAATAATTCTTCATATCATGATTTTATCTACAGGTTTATTGTGGTCAATTATCAGGTCAACAGGTGTCGTTAGAATCTCTACAGGCCTACATCGACGCTATGGTTAGAAAGGTTCGCGATGCTCAGGAACACAGAGTATTAACACTAGAGGAGCGCGTCAGTGCTTTGAAGGACAGCCTTAGAGAAACAACAAGAAAACATGGCAAGCTTCTATCTGCGTACAGGTATTTGTTTTCAGCTTTTTCTTAGCTTTTTGATGCAACGTTTTATCCACGTCTGCTTTCTCGCTCACAATAGTGTTCTGCGCTACGACCTCGAATCATCCAAAATTTCTTGTGCGCAAAATAACGACGAGTACTTGTACCAGCCTTCGCAAGAGGAATTGGACAGCGCACAGGTAATAAGAGTTTGTCAATTACATTCAATTGAGCTACTATTGGAGTATGTTAAGTTGAGTTTTAATTTCAGACTCAGGAAATAAGGAAACTGACTGAGAAAATTCACAAATACGAACAAAACATCAAAGAATTGAAAAATGAGGTTTGTAAAGATATTSCGGGGTTTTTATGTCGAAACTTTTTGGGGAGTGAGACTTCAAACTGTTAAATTTTGTTACATGAAATTACAGTTGTCTTATGCCAAAACAAAGCGAGAAAACGTTTCTTTARCGACGTCAAACGGGATTGACAGCAACCAGCAGTAAGTATAAGATCATGTCATTTATAAAGAAACCATTTTCAGCCTTTTCAAATACTTTTAACTTCAGTAAACGCAGATTGCTTTATGTACAGTTATTTCATTGCTAGACTTATTAAGATTCTTCAATTTAGCAATGCTTTGGATGGTTCAACCGAGGGAAACTGGAGTCATCTCAGGAAACTTATGCGTGAATTCACTTTGAATACACAGGTGGATATTTATTTTTAGCTTCTGAAAGACAGTATTACGCATGCTCTAGACTATAATATGCTTTAAAGTGTATCCCACATGGCTCCTTGAGCTGACTGTTATTATGTAAGAATCATTGATACAGCCTTTTGCACAAATTATGAGACATTTTTATATATATAAATATACCTAACCAAATATCAAAAACACCCCAGAAATTATGGTATATCTCTATTATATTTTGTCATGATTGCCTAGCATCAGGTTGTTACAGACAAAATATCAGCGACGGTATCCCATAATTTCTTGGGTGTTTTTGATATTTGGTTAGGTATATTTATATATATAAAAATGTCTCATAATTTGTGCAAAAGGCTGTATAT